TAATACAGGTTAAAATCATACAGTGCAACAACAATTTAAAAGAGAGAAGAAGAGGAAAACTGTAATAAGATCTGACCAATCATAATATAAAAGTCATTTTATATATATATATATAACATCAACATTTAATTCTCTGTGCAAAAGAGGAGAAGGACATCTGACTTGTTATCAGTGCAGTTCAATAGCCAGCATCCATGATGGGAGGTGCATTAAAGCACAGAGCATAGCTAACGTGTACATTTTTTAGGCATCGAGCTTTATTTAACCAGAAAGTGGAACTCTTGAGATCAACAATCTCTTTGAGAAGAATGTCTTCGGTTCAGACAGTCAACATTAACTTAGCAATTTTTTTGTCAGTGCAAGGTCCACACAGAAAGGGTGCCAGGGTTCAAACCCAGGACCCCCCTGCTGTGAGGCAACAGTGGGCCCAGTAGTTTTCCGTGAAGGCGCTGTTTATTTAAAAAAAAAAGGCAAATATCATTCTGGATACAACAGCATGCGTTCTGCTGTAAAAGCTGCAAAATGTGCAAGAACAAAAGAACAATTACATAAGAAAAAACTTCAACACTTTTATGTGTATCTCTGCACTGATTTTAATTTGGTTTGAATATAGCTTATAAATTCACAAAGGATTAATGGAGAGCTAGTTTAGCACAATGCATTATATAAATCCAGTGTGTCTGTTTATGCTGATAACTGTCGTTGTATGTGATGGTTTATAGTTTTAAAACATGACTGCTGTCATTTCTTGACATCCACTGTTTGTCTCAAAGATATTATATGTTAAATTCTTCGCAATGAAATATTATGGCAGCTATAAACAAGTACTGAAAACAACTAGAGAATCAGACCTCATGTCTAAAGACATTCAAAAATCCTTTAACCTTACCTCAGGGTGATCAATTTCAGTCTAAACTCTGTAGCTTTGTAGATGAGTAAAAGCACAGATGTAAAATTCTACAAAAGAAAAAACCCCAACAAACTCGCGGAGTAAGACATTCAGGTTATATTTTAATTATACCTGACATTAATTACTGGTATTCATTTATTATTAGCAATATTTTTTTGTTTTGTTTTGGGAAGTATTCTATTATCATCGGACTTTTCTAAACATTTGTGGAAGAATGCGTCTTTCTGAAGGTCTTGCTGAGTTGAGCGTGGTTCTGTAGCAGGGTCCCACCTTTGCAACGAGTCAGTTCATGAAATGTGTTTGCTCCTAGTTATTCCGCGATCAGCTGTAAGCGGTGTTACTGCTAAGTGGAAGCGTTTAGGAGCCACAGACCTCGTAAGGTTACACAGCGGGGCCACCGAGAGCCGAGCGCGCACAGTGCGTAAAAGTCGGGCTGATGACTTCATGTTGAGTCCCACGTCTTCTGTGGCATTAAGAACGAAAAATAAATGAATAAAGTAAAATAGAAACGAAATAAGTAACATTATCTGTTTTATTTTAAAAAATGAAGGAGAAAAAAAATGCTCTGGAAGCTTCATGGCATGGATTTCTGTGACTGAGCAGCTCCTTTGGGTGTAAACGTGACTCAGTCATTTTTCTATATAACCTGTATAATTAACATAAGCAGGACAAGACTGAAACAGTAATTAAGGCCGGTCATTTGCGGCTTTTACCCTGCGCGTTATTTAGTCTTCACAATACGCAGGCTGCCGTGATTATTGAGGCAGGAAAGAAAAATCGCTTTACTGAGATTATTGGATGTCTAGTAGTTAAAAAAAATTAAAAGACAGAGAGAGAGAGAGAGATGAGTCAAGCAGTCTCCATCCTTAAATGCGCCAAAGATCTACATAATCATTTGTGAATTTATATGTATTATTAACATATTTCATTTTAAATGGTATTTTCAGCACCATTGTGCAGCTATAGAGACAACCCATGAACTGGATTTTTTTAGTTTTCAAGTGAATTCATTTATTCAGGTGTTCAGGGCAATGCAAAAACTCAAAACTCAGCAGAGCTGCAGAAATGATAGCGCATACACATGCTGACATGCATGCTGAGACACTGACATGCAGGGCGATTAGAGCGCACCTTTTAAACAGAAGTTAAAACTTAAAAACTTCAAATAAAAAAACAACAACAAGCTATATACACGCAGACCAAGTATTTTCTACATGCGTTACCCACACTTATTTTTTTAGCGTTTTATTTTTGTTATTTTTAAATGATCTCTGTTTGGTCTCTATACCTTTACTCCGATCTATTCGTCAACCACTAAGAGTAACGAATCAGGCAGCCGGAGGCAGAGAGGCAGGCTGCGCGCCTCAGCTGTGCTCCTCTTTGGAGTGCGCACAGGTGACTGCCGCTGTGACCAGAGTCACCAGAGCTCACAGTGTCTCGGGTGAAGCAGTGCGCCTGGCGTGTGGCTCTGAAACTTTCCCCACTCCTGCTTTAAATCACTGCCCTGAGGTAGCTGTTCGCAGGAGGCCAAAACAACCTCAGAGCACTGGGTAATGCTCCGGACAGTCCCCTGTTTGGAGTGTCAGTGTATCTCCAGGGTTGTTAAAGAATACCAAACAGGTTTATAACCAACTGATGTTTGTGTTTTACTGCAGTGCATTGTCTCCTTTTGTGTAATTTTCTACATAGAATAAATAAATAGCTGATTTTTTTTTAAAAAAGGAATAAATAAAAAAGGCTACTAGCACTGTGCCATCAACCCCCTCCCAGCCCATCAGCAGGTTTATCCCTAGGCTTATGCGGACTAGAACAGCAGCAGACTGCAGCCATGGGTACAAGTGGTTGGTGTGATTATTATATAACACTGAAATAAGGTAATTTAACTCATTAAATCAGCTGTATTAAGGTAAAATTGAAATCACCCTTGTTTTCTTATTCACTTATTTCCTTAAGTGTTTTTTTCTTCTTCTGAAATTCACTGAAAATCGCTGTTATCACCAGATTTGTAATTAACAGGTTTTATGTCAGCACATCAGTTTTCTGAATCCTTGCCAAGTCAGCTAATCTTATCAGATCCATTCAGCCCTCAGTGCCGCACAGAGTAAGCAAACAGTCTGAAGTCCACGTAGAAGCAGAACTTAGCACCTGATACGAAAACATCGTTAGAATTATGTTAGCTTACCTCGCCTAGCTTCAGGCACTTGAAGCTAACATACGAGCTAGTCTGTGAATGCTGAGGGTTAGCATGTAGCTAATGTACCTTTGTTTGACCAAGACATGGGCCAAACTTACCTCAAAACGTTTTCAAAATGCCTTCAGAGAACTTGCAAAGTACTTCTCCTCCGAATTAAAAAAAAAAAAAGCAAATAAAAATAAGCAGGGAGAAGTTTTTAAACTGATATAATTATCCACAGTTTGTATGTTCAGACTAAACTAGCTTTGTAGATGAGCAATGCCACAAACTTACCAGATACATGTAAAATAATAAAGTAAACAATAGAATTTGAAACTACAAGAATTAAACTCAAAATAATTATTTTTTAAACATATTAATGACCACAATTCATTATTGTTTTTGTTAGTTTTATATTACAATTTGGCTGTTCTGATCATGTAATTTTTGTTTCCATGGAAACTTTTACGTTATTCAGCATATGTAATTCATTTTTAAGAGGGACCAAAACACCAAAATAATTTACTTTATTGATATTAAGAGAAGATGTTTGGTTATGGACCCGTGAGTGTCTTTAATGAAGCGACACTAAACTAAACTATACTATAGGAACCTTGCAATCACTGAACTCTGTATATCAAAGTATTCTAGAGTCAAATGTGATGTCATCTGTGTGACAGCTAAAGCTGGGGCCAGACTGAACCAGGCAAGAGGGCATCAATCCCAAGCAGCAAATCTACAGTAAAATGATTGGAATTATTAGAAAATATTAGGTTTTCTTCACTAATAATGTGTATATACACACATTTTTCATCATATTCTTACATGCATATATCCAAGATTCTTTTTTATATATATATTTTATACCTTTAGAATTAGAAATGCACCAAAATTTTGTTCTGATGTGCACTAACTGGTGGATGTTCTGAATTATAATAAAGAGGCTACTCTATTCTATTGTAAAATAAATAATAGCTTGAGGTGTTGTAATGCTCTGGTCAAAGTCCAGACCTCAACCTGTCTTAAATGCTGTGGTGGGACTTTACGAAAGCTGCAACAAACCTCAATGAACTGAAGTAATGTTGTACAGAAGAGTGGGCCAAAAGTACTCCACAATGATAAGTGAGAAGCTGTTAAAGTCATAAAGAAAATTATTTCTGTGAATTTTTGGTAGTCTATGTGGTTCTGCATAAATCATGGGGGTAACCTACTGTAGTTTTCACAGGACTGCGGAGAGTCCTTTTTTCCAACATAATATTTCATTTTACATTTCTTCAGTACTACTCGGTATATAGTGACACTTATAGGACTAAAATTTATAAATGCAATTTTTCAAAATTCATCATTCAGTCTGAATGCCCACCGTTCATTCAAAGTAATGCAGAGCAACCCCAAAACTTAGTAGGAAAGCATGAGACATAGATGTCCCTCTGTCTTCCTCTTCCTCAGACCTGGATCGTTTAACGTTACGTGTAGATATTCAGGTAGGCAACAGTGACAGAGATGGAGAGCGACAGAGAGGATCGAGGCTTGGGGGTTCGCATCAGTCCGCCCAGGACCCCACAGTTACAGCTGGATACTGGTGCCGCCTGGTGACTGAGTGTGAGAGCTCCCCCTCAACCTATTCCTACTTTAACGTAACATCACTTAAACATAACATCAGTGCTCAAAGTGCCTGCTCAAACCTCAAACCAAAGGAAAAGACCTGGGCTACCGGGTGGACAGTCCGCTGATTAATGAAACTATCCTGTCGACTTAAATAAATTTAAAAATATATATATTTAAAAGTAAAGCGATAACTGTCATTATTTCAGTAAAATGTCCCCGTTTGTGTAATAATCGACAAAAAAGAAGAAAAAAAAGGAAAAAGAAAAAAACTGCCCGGACGGTTTAAATATCCGGGTTTAATTACACGGTCATGTTTGTACGGAGCAACGGAGAACTACAGCAGCAGCAGCGATGGCTACAAGTGATGGACGCGATTATTTTCAGAGAACAAGTCTCTTCTGGATGGTCACCATATCAGTGTCGCTGATATATTTCGCTGTAAGTTCGTTAAATCACCTGTACTTCGGTACAACTGAGATATTATTACCGTCAGCCTTTTTCTCTCATTTGTAACTGCTCGCGGAACCCGTAGTTGTGTTGCACAATATGTACTCCGGGTAATTTTATTTTTCTGAAAACTCGGGGGCTCGGGGAGAGTTTAGTCCTCCCTGTTGTCGATTGCTAATGAATTTTTAAATGGGGAAAATGTTCAAATATCGGCAGGTTATTGTATGGAGTCATTGCCAAGGGTGTCTATGTAAAAGGCTAATCTTATCGAGGTTCATTCAGTTCTCGGTGTGACACAGGTCAAAAAAACATCTCAAAGTCCACTGTACGTGTTAACATTAGGAGCTGATTCAAAACTCATTTCAAGTTAGCTTTCTTTCATCAAGGCTGCCCTCGGTCGTGCTCGGTGAACACTGAGCTGTCACGTAAGGGGCGCTCAAGCTAACAGGTGAGCTAGTTTGTACGTGTTGGGGTTAGCTTGTAGCTAATTAACCTTTTTGTCTGGTCAAGAAAATATGGCAAAGTGACCTCAAAGGATTCATGCCTGCTTTCCAAAGTATTGCCATTAAGGAGAAATGACTCAAACGGGGGTAGATGGAGCATAACAGTTTAAATGTACAAACAGTACGGTGGCCCTAAGGTGCAAACTTTTCAGAACTAAAAATAGGACTGACAGGAATGTTGTGGCTACCTACTCTGAAGTGCTTTTTTTTTTGTGCCTTCTACAATGTCAGTTCTCATATCCATGTTTTCTTAAATGGTGTATTTTGCACCTTGGGAATGGACAATGGCAGCAGTGTGTTCTATTTGTCAACTCGTGTCTTTAAAAAATGTTTTTCATGAATATTTATCATTAGATGAATTAAGTGGTTGGAAGCTGAAGATTTTTATTTAGTGTTGAAGATCAGTAATTGGATCAGAGACCACAATTATGCCTATGCTTGGCTTTCTTTGGTATAACTCAAACAGCCAAACACGGTGAGCAGAACTGATTTTCGTCTAAAACTGACATATTTTACGGCATTTTGCACAACAAGGCTGCACTTTGTAGTGCATAAATTGGCTACAGTCATGATCTAAACCACTGGAAAGAGTCATTCATAGTACCGTGCCAGAGCAGGAAAATGAAATGATACACTTTATTATTGCCACTGTGGAGTCTTCTCATTAAAACAGCAAGTCATTGCCCGTGAGCACCTAGAGAGTCTGATGTTGGCAACTCTTGTTTATATGGGCACCATGGGAGGGGACTTTCAGCAGGACAAAATACGACTTACTGTGGTCATATGCATGCCATGAAATGAGTGTCTGTGTCATACAGTCATTAGTTTATTCAAAGACATCTTTGTTTCTAAAGTTCTCACACAGTACTGAGCAGAAGTCCTGAGCCACCCATCCTTTCAACTTATTTCTTTAATTGTTTTAGAAAACTGGGCCGAAGTATGGCAGTTTACAAAAACGTGCAAACATACATGGAAATGCAGTTTATAGGGCAAAAACAAAGCTTAACTGTCACATTTTGAACTCTCCTGGCCGAGCTTTCATGCGATTTCTTTAAGTAGTCTTTGGGAATGGTTCTCAAGACTTGAAGGACATTCCAAAGGTCTTCTTTGAGCAGGGAAAAAACTTCAAAGACCTTCAGAATGATTGCTTATTTAAAGATATTGCCCTTCAAAAAATTAGAAGGGGGTTTTGTTTATTGTATATGGTGTTTTAAACTCCTTCTTTCTGATTCCAGTGCACAGTGTTTGCACCAGATGTAGTCCCATTTGAGCTCCTTGGTCCATTTGGCACCTTCTCCAAAAACCTTGCGGATAACCATCCTGACCTACTGTACAAAGGGTAAGTAATGAAGCACTGACTCCTGCAAGCATCCAAACAAAGAATTCTGGTAATGAGGTTTGGTCATTATAGCTTTTGTAATGCAAGCCAATCACTTTAGGAGATCTAAATAGACATTTTTCTAATGATGTGCAAATCACCAGACC